TTCCCTTCCTGTCCTCTTCATCCCAGAAACTTTTAATACAGTTCCTGCAGTAGCTGTGTCCACAGGCTGTAGTCACTGGATCCTTCAGTAGATCCAAACACATGGAACAAAAGAAGGTTTCTCGGTCCAGCTGATCTCCTTTCTGTGCCATTTCTCCTCTCAGTTTGAGTGCTTTCGTGAGTTTCTCTTCCTTATAAACTAGTTTGAGGTCTGATCTGTTCCTGAGCTCTAACATGTCACCACATGTTGGCTACACCCAACTTCAACTTGAGATAAGATAAGATAAAACTTTATTAATCACTCGGGTGGGTTCCTCTGGGAAATTCGGTTTCCAAAAAGCACAGCACCGACAGAAGTTACAGAGTTACAGAATATTATATATGCACACACACACACACACACACACACACACCCACACACACACACACACACACACACACACACACACACACACACACACACACACATATAAATACAGAGAATATAAATAAAATATAAGAAGGGGATAAATAGAATAAAAATAAAAATACAAGTGAATTGCACATTTCAAGTATTGATGTCTATTGCACTGTTGCCCAAGAGTATTGCCCAAAAGGTATTGCACAGTGAAGTGAAGAGGCACTACAGCTTAGTTGTTGTGAAGTGATGGTGTGGAAATGAGGAAACATGTGGGCAGAGAGGTGTTATGTTTAAGAGCAGGAAGAAGAGGGAAGGTTATCAGCCTGTGCTTCATTCCTGGAAGAGGAGCGGTTTGAGAACGATACTGTTCATTTCAACTGTTTCTCTCCCTTAAACACCATCAAGGGTGAGAGGGTGCAGCAGGTGTAGTAGTTGGTACATGATGGAGTAAACAAATTAACGGGTTTTCAAACATATTCAGCTCCACAAAGATGTGATGACAGGAATAATACAAAGAAACCTTGACTGCTTTTTTAAAAGTATTTTTCTGTTATTATGGTTGAGTTGATCACAACTTCTACAATCATCTTGATTCGGGGACGTGACTAAATAAGAACCAGTAAATATTAAGGTCTCCAGTGACTAGAGCTGTACGATATGACCAAAATCGCATATCCCGAAATAAGACATTTCTCATCCTGATAACAATATATATCACAAAATAGTGCTTTTCTGAAAATTCTGTGAATCTCGGGCAACTCAACTTGTGTGAAGTGTTTTCAGCTGGGTGCCGTGTACCTGGAGTGAAGTGTTCCCTTCGAGGCATGAAGCTATACCTTTTTAGACATAAGTTGTAACGGCCACCAGGGCCGGTTCTAGACAGGGCCAATGGTGTGTGGTGGCAGATTTCTTTTCTCATGTACTAACCACATATTTTAACCATATCACTTTAGCATAGTAAGAGCACTCCTGTCACCAGTTTGTATGCATGTTGAATGTGATCACTAGTGGGGCCCACGATTTATTGCATCTTCACAGCATTTTCCTCCTGAGGGCTCTGGACATCCTGTTGCAGAGGAGGTGATGGTTGGTTGGAGCTTTTCTTAGACTGAACAGTTAATGGTCTATAATAATTGATCTGTTGTGGAATGTTCTTTGTTCGAGAGTGTCTGTGTCTGCATATAAGATGTAAGGGCGACAATTCAGAGATGGTCCTGGTGTTTCACTGGGATGTTCTCTCCACATTGCAATGTGTTTATTAAATCCACTTCAAATCAAGATCACTGGGTGTGTTGCAGGTTTTTGTTAAATTTTCACAACAGGTGGCAACAAAGAAAGCATGTTTCTTGTGATTCTATGAACAGTGAACACCCGTGTGTACATGGCATCTTCAGGACGCTGTTTTAGCCATTTACAAATATCTGTGTTGATCAAGGACACATCTACCCACACTGCCAGGAACACC